AAGCCCACTGTTGATGAACTTGTCAAAGAGAAAACGCCAAGTCCGAAGGACAAAAAATTTAAGGCCGAAAAAACGGAACAGCTAACTTTGTCTGAAAAGCCCACTGTAGAAAAAATCACGAAAGACAAAACACCAAGCCCTGTCGATAAGGCCGAAAAACCAGAACCACTTACTGTGTCTGAAAAGCTCACAGTAGAAGAAATCACAAAACACAGAACACCAAGCCCTGTCGATAAGGCCGAAAAACCAGAACCACGTACCATATCTGAAAAGCCCACTATTCATGATCTTGTGAAGGAGAAAGACAAGGAGGTTAAGACCGACAAACCGGAACAACTTACTGTGTCTGAAAAGCCCACTGTAAAAGAAATCGCGAAAGACAAAACCCGGAGCTTTGTCGATAAGGCCGAAAAACCAGAACCACTTACTGAGTCTGAAAAGCCCACTGTTGAATTCGTCAAGGAGAAAACACCAAGTCCGACGGACAAGGAGGTAAAGACCGAAAAACCGGAACCACTTACAGTATCTGAAAAGCCCACAGAAGAAGAAATCACGAAAGACAAAACTCCAAGCCCTGTGGAAAAGGCCGAAAAAGCCGAACAACTTGCGGTGTCTGAGAAGACCACTGAAGACAAAATCTCGAAAGACAAATCCCCAAGTTCTGTCGATAAGGCCGAAACACCAAAACCACTTACTGTATCTGAAAAGCCCACTGTAGAAGAAATCACAAAAGACAAAACACCAAGCCCTGTTGATAAGGCCGAAAAACCAGAACCACTTACTGTGTCTGAAAAGCCCACTGTAGAAGAAATCTCGAAAGACATATCCCCAAGTTCTGTCGATAAGGCCGAAACACCAAAACCACTTACTGTATCTGAAAAGCCCACTGTTGATGAACTTGTCAAGGAGAAAACACCAAGACCGACGGACAAGGAGGTTAAGACCGAAAAACCGGAACCACTCTCTGAAAAGCTCACAGTAGAAGAAATCACGAAAGACAAAACACCAAGCCCTGTCGATAAGGCCGAAAAACCAGAACCACTTACGTTGTCTGAAAAGCCCACTGTAGAAGAAATCACAAAAGACAAAACACCAAGCCCTGTCGATAAGGCCGAAAAACCCGAACTACTTACTGTGTCTG